CATTCAATATTTGAAATAATCTTGAAAATAAATAGTTTCATTTGAGTACTACAATTTTTACAGAGTACATATTAATCGTATTAAATCTTCGGCAGTTCTACTATTAATTTGAACTCTGTAGGCTCCAATATTGCACCAGTTACAATATTGAACATTTTAATTCTTTGCGGACGAGGATTTTTTAAAGTATTGAAAACCATTCGTAGAGGAAGTAAATGTCGGTGACAGAGAAAACTAATCACTGATTTCTCGTTATTTGAACGAATCAATTGTTTGTTCAGAACTTCGTATTCCAAATATGAAAAATGACGACATTTGATCTCACAGGGTTGATGAATCTTAAAGAAACTACCCTAAAATTATTAGATTTCCCGCACATCCAAATTTTGTACTAACAAGGAAAATAAAAGATCGAAGAAATGTTATAGCATTTCTCATTTTCGCTAGGAATACTATAAAAATTAGTTGCAGTTGCTGATTACAAAACAACCTGGAGTGCTAAGGGTTATACATCCAACTATATAATATGACTAATAACATTCCTATTCTTTGCAATAATAATCTCCTAACCCAATCGAGACCGGTTACACATGTGCAATAATTATAATGAGCATTTATCAATTATTCTAAGTAAAGTAGTCGTCGAGATAAGACTTATTTTGAATTAATAGCATCTGTAAGGTATAGAGAAACAAAATAAACATACTCACCAACAATAAGAAAATAGAGTTTTTATGACTATCGTCTAGAGATTTTAAGAAACTTAATTCAAAAACCCCGTGACAGAATTTCGCCTCTGTGGACCGTGTTCGAAAAAAATCGCCGTCTCGAATGGGCTAATCTACTAGGAGGATAAATAAATGTTCGTCGCGAAGAGGGGTTCGTAATCTCTTAAACACGTTACTGACAGTTAAAACCGCTTCTTCCTTTCCGCATGTCGCGTCCAACGGCGCGGTCGCGCGTCAGACATGGCAACATCGCGAATGACCACGTCGTCACGGTCACCTGACTTTTCGTGGAAACGCGGCGCTGTCGCGAGCGCGGGTAAGGTATGCGACGAGCATTCGCGCGAGCATCGAGGTCTTTATTTTCATTCGAGCCTAGCCTGAAATCATCGAATTCGAGGGGAAGCCGCGAACGAACGACAGGGTCGCGTGGACATAACCTCTCTTCGTCGCGGCGGCGGAACAGAGAAAGTACCATTAGGGCCGTTTCTAAAGTCGCACGGCGGGTAAGGTGATTCGTGTACGGCGACCGGAATAGCCGGGGCAGCGAGCGAATGGCCGATACACATCTGTACACCGTCTGTGTGTCACGTGGGATGGTAAAACGAGTGCGTAGGAGAAACGTTTTCGACGTCCGAAAAGTAGCACGGTGCGGCGAGCGCGCACGGATTACGAGTGGAACGCACGTTAAACGTGGCTCGGGACGAAGACGGCGATAACCGGCCTCCCCTCGATCGATTATCGGCCTGTTTACTTCCACGAATCCGATTTCGTGCGAGGGACTAACGCGAGCGGCTCGTGACTGCCGATATATATCGGTATAATTGTATTATGGCGCCCATTGTACGACTGCCGTGAAAAGGCGAGCATGGTCGTCTCCCACTGAAAAATAAACGGAACAGGAAAATACGTTCTCGCGTCTGTCGGATCACATTTTTCCAGTGGCAGGATATTCTAGGCAGTGGCAGTCGGATGTTGAGTTCCAACGTGGTTATTTTCGATGATTACGAATTTATTTGGGTAGGAATTTAGATTGGGAATATGACGATTAATGGAATTTCTTATATCAAAATAATTGTGGGCATTGACACTAGAACTACTGTAACAGTCTGAATGACTGATTTCGATTTGTTTGTTTCGCAATTATTAACCCTGTGACTCTCAGTCACCACTTGATTTGATTTGCAAAATTATAAAGTTTTATGTAGAATATTAAGGTTTGCACGATGCATCAATATGTGGAATATTGAAATAAAGTAACTTTCCTTTTTAATTTATATATGTTTTCTCGTTAATTAGTTTCAAAGAACATCGTATGTATTTCGTCGGAGAATATTGAATATTTCTAGTGAAAAACTTTCGAGTGTAAAGGGTTAATACCTTAAAAGCATTGAATATTTGAAATGATTTTGGAAATAAATAGATTCACTTGAGTTCTATGATGAATATCCAATGAACCGGAAATAATCTATTGTTACAATTTTTATAGAAATTACGTATCAATCGTATTAAATGCTCGGTTGTTTTAGTGTTAAATTTATTCGAATTATTACGAATTTATTCGGATAGGAATTTAAATTGGGAATGACGATTAATGAAATTTCTTATGAAATGAAAATACTTGTGGACATTAAATTTCTCACGATGTCTTTGTTCTATTCTACCTAATATGCATCTTCAACGCAGAATGCAATATTTTATTAGGTTATTAATACTAGAACTACTGATCACTTGAACTGACTTTCACCAATTTCTGTATACACCATAAGCGTGCGTTTATCGAGATTTCAATTGAGTCTTCAGTTTTGCTATCACTTAATTAGTTTCGTTAATAATTTTTCGTAGAAATATCTATATCTTCTCAGTAATTGTAAAAAGAGAAATCAGAAACAAGTCATTTTGACCCATCTGGTAGTTCTAGTGTTAAAATATTCTTTTATTATATATTTATTATACAAAATATTATTTTATTATACGTTTATTTTATGAAATATTAATATATAAGTAATTTGAGAATTTAAAACTTTTAAGGATTGCAGGTTGCCATTCAATGGCTCTCAGCTTCTGAGACCTGAATCCATACTACGCACTTTGGAGACATTATTAAAGAAACCTTTCTTTTTTTTTAATGTTGCGTTTAATTTTTATATAACTGACATTAATATTAATCAGACGTTCAAAAATATTTTATCCTTGAGTTATTTTAAATTATTTTACATTTATAAACTGAACGTCAGGTATGAGCTTATAAATATTGGTTGTGTCTTTGTAACTGTACATTGAAAAAGTGCTTGAAGCGATAAATAACTTTTGTGTTGATAAACGTTTCATGAGATTTGCATAATAGACAGGTTGAAATAAAAATAAATATTGTGAAATTACGATGTCGTATTAACGTTGGCTGTAACGCTAAGCAAAAATATGTTGTAACAATTCTCAGATATATAACAGGATTGCGTATGTCTATGCATATGAATAAATTTGTGCATACGTTACGTTCAAGTAGCCGGTGAGTGAAAAGAAAATCGACACTCAATAAAAATCTGATATTGCTTCGAATCCATATTTGATACAATCAATGGTACGTATCGATAATGGCGGTGCTTTTCGATGGCACTCGGTGTTATACTAAATCACTACAATCCAATATCCAATGATATCAGCAAAAATCGCGTGGTTCTTATGAATTGCTCGCAGATTGTACAGCAATGCTTATTTTTTTTCAATAAATATAGAGAATTGGTGTCTCGAAGGCATAAATGCCTATCGACTGTAACAGTCGTACAGATTAATGTATCTTTTCGTAATATCTTGCTCGGATATTTTATGGACGGCGGCTGAATTTATTTTTAACCTTAAATTTCAAGTGGAATTTAATAGTTATAAAAATAAAGTCGAACTATAAGAATCTCAATTGTTCATGTGACAGTGAAACTTTTCATTGTGAATGGCATAATATAATAAACGATTTAGTTAATTCTCACGACATGACTCATCATGATAATTGACATTAATATGTGGCAAAAATATCTTGACTTTCGACCATGTTACGTGTGTACGAATAATTACAACACCAACAAATGAGACATTTTGTCAAATTGGATGTCAGACAAGGTGACCCATATTAAGAATTGTAGACGGTACAATTATAACTTAAATAATGCAATAATAATCTCAACCATACAGGGTGTCCATAATATTCCTACCTATTTTATGAAATAACATATTAGTATCATTCTTACAGAAACTTGTATTTAACAAACGAGTTTCAGATTATTCAGACACGGAAGACACGCTCATTGAAACACAAACCTAATCTTTTTAGCCTTCATTGTATTGGACTTGTGAAATCTCACATCAATCGGACCAAGATTAAGAATCTGGAAAACCCACGTACAAGTATAGGAATTGCTATACTAAAAATGGTTTCACCTGTGCAAAGAAACTGATAAAACGTCGTGTTGCCAAATCAGTTAAACTCTTTATTACTCAATAAATATAAACAGCACCGAGAACACGTGGATTCTATGTTGCAAATCGTCCTAAATACCGTTTAATTATTAGTACAGTATCATTTATGAACACTAGAACCACCAGAGAAGTCAAAATTGTCCACTCCTGATTCCTTCTTTTCACAATAATTACAAAGACAACAGATAACTCCCAGATAAGAATTGTAAATCAAAAGAAATTTCAATACTACCGCGTCTCTATAGAAAAATTTCAAAAAGTCAATTTCTCTGATGGGTCCAGTGTTAACAGTCTCAAATTAACGTTGCCAATTTACCAATTCATTTATTCTATGCATCAAGATCGTATACAAGAATTAATCCAATCCCTATAAGAATTAAAAACAGTGCTTGATATACAGGGTGTCCTCCACAATATAATATTCCATATCAAAGAGTTACTCTACAAACCAAGGTAAAAAATATTATTTCCCATGTTCAATTAACACGTTGACTGCCACGAAAACGTTCAGAGATTTTTGTATCGCTTCTTCTGTAGTAAAGATAAAAAACAGCAGTTATTTATTACTTGGTATCGAAATGCTTACGTCAGACTGCCATCTAGTTATGCTAATAGACATTCTCATTCAACATTAGGAGTCTAGCAAATTAACATTGTTTTCAAGTGATTTGGATGCTCCGGTCATCGGTGACCACCGTGGCAGTCAACGTGTTAATTTTTCAGCGTGAAATTATTCTCTGGCCGGTACCAACGCCGTCGTACCGGACACCCTGTATATCACGCTGATGTGTATTATAAGTGAACTTACCCGTGCGAGGGAAACCTGTGCTGAAGATGTTGTGGTTCGTAGTATTGTGTGGTAAGGGCTCGTTCGTCCAAGGTATGCTCAGTCGCGTGGGCCTTCGCTGCGGACTTGATATCCATGAACGCCACCGTCGCGGAGGCACCCCCGGTGCTGCTCGAGGAACCGCTACCCCCGCCACTGCCACCGTTCCCAGAACTGGAACCGGAACCACCCTCGTTGCCTTCTCCAAGGGAACCACCGGTACCTCCATCCACGGGGCATTCTTCGCCCCGCGGCAGCAGCTTGACGCTTTGCACGCGTCCATACCTGGAACATTAATAGTTTCTCGTTAATCGACGTTGATTAACTTCCGGTAAAAGTTGAGTCGCTGGGAACTGAGATGAACAATTTTGAATCCATTATGTGCCACTCCATCCCTTTCGGTCATGGCGTCCTCATATAACTTGGTGCATCTGAATTCGGTGAATTTTATTGTTTGTAAACGTTGTTCTCCCATTATTGGAACCATAGATTCTATTAGACAATGGCGTTGACGTTTCTTATCAAATTGTGTTATCAGAAAATAAAACTAGACGCACGTTCAAGAATATTCTAGCTAGCCTCATCTTTGTTTTACTATTTTTATTCTGATCTCTGTGAGACTGCTCAATGAATGACACTAGAACTACCAGATGGGTCAGAATGATTTGATTCCTGATTTCCTTTTATACAATTACTGAGAAAGTACAGATGCTTCCCTGAGAAATCGTTAATGAAGCTGATTTAGTAATAGCTACACTGAAATATGAATCAATTGAAATCCTAACACTAGAACTACCGAGTAATTCAATTAGATTGATTGTCCTGTAGAAACTCCAATATTGTGTCTGTTGAGATTTCAATGGACTTATAATTTAGTTTAATTTTCAAATCAATTTCATTATTTATTTCCCTAAGAGGCATCTGTTCCTTTTCAATAGCTGCAGAAGAATCTAGGAATTTTGACCCATTTGGTAGTTCCAGTGTCAATAAGTTATATGTTCTACAAAGAAATTTGGGAGAGTCAGTTTAAGTGCTTAGTAGTTCTATTGTTAAATATTTTGTAGAATTATTATTACAGAGAGTTGTACTTGCTAATCCCTTTGCAGTATTGTGTAGCTTTAAGGGCACTTCACAGTTACTTTTTCAGGCCATTTTCATGTACCTTCTATCAGAAGTAAATAAAGTGTCGTTTACAACTTAAGTTTTACTGAGATTCGATTGCTTGACAGGAGGATACCTAATGGATTCGACGAAATGTAAGATTCATTCAGAGACGTGAAGGTTATGGTACACAACGATGGCCGGAAGTTGTGACGTAGCACAGATGGTGGTCTGCCTAAAATGGTTTAGGATTTCTACGAAAAAAATGCACGCAGATGTCGTGATCGTTTTGTTAAGTCCTCTTTGTGGCACGAATAAGAGTAACGCCGAAGCAGAACACATATAATAATTACATTGAAAACGTGATCAAACGTACCGACAATGTACCTGGATTTGGAGGATCGGAATTCACGTTACCGCGCCCATCAATCTCCAGCATGAGGTATCTCGTACGATAAATAATTGATCATTACGCAGAACACTACTCGGAGCCGCATGAAATGTATTTTTTTTCCCTCGTGGAATCTACCGAACGGACAGCGATCGTTTTCAAGCATAGAACTGTGATCGCCCTTATATTTTGCTCGGCTGCAACTTCAGATCGGTGTACTTAAAGAAAGCGCGTCTTGTTTTCACCCTGTAGAGCCCTGAGATATTGAATTTCGACGAAATTAAAGAAAACAAAGAGCCAAAGTTGTTTCTGGCACACCCTGTGTACAGAAAGCTCGACAGTAGTAGAAACGGGCTTACTAGGTGAGGTAGGGCGACCGCGCCGATGGTGGGGCGGCGAGCGTCCCGATTGGCCGGCGGGGAGAAGAACATTACGCGCAAGCGCAAAGGCTGCAACGGTTTCGGAGTATCTCGGGGAGTTGTTCGTCTAATCTCGCGTGAGTCGCACGTATTTCCTTGTGCGTTCTTCCGAGGAGAATCTTTTTCGTTTTTTTCTTTCTCTCTCTCTCAAATCCCGGATTACACACGCAGCCTATAATACATCAACGAAAGATGCATTAGAAAAATCCGTTGTTTGTTCTCTGTACACGCTCACACAGGCAACGGTAATCACACGCGATAGAGAATGCGCGGAGAACCTGGGCGGCACCTTGGATTAAGTTCGCTTGGATTATAAACCGCGGAAAGTTTGTTCTCTCT